GGACGATCTACACGCGGCACAAGATCGACATCTGCTCCACGATCACGAGTTGCTCCGCGGGCTACGAGCCGAGCAGCGACGGCCAGGACTGCGACCCGAGCCCGACGCCCGCGCCGACCACGAGCCCGACGCCCGCGCCGACGCTGGCGCCCGCGCCGTCGATCGCGCCGACGCCGTCGCGCGCCCGGCGTCCGCGCGCGCGCGCCGCCCCGGCGCCCCCCCCGAAACCGCCGCCGCGCGTCGCAGGCGCCCGACCGCGCGCTGCGGGACCGTCGCCTTCGCCGAGCGCGTCGTCGACGATGACGCGGGCAGCGCGTGGTGCGTGGTCGCCGCCGACGTCGACGGCGACGGCGACGTCGACGCGCTGGCGGCGGTCTCCTCCTACGACACCGTCGCGTGGTACGAGAACGACGGGTCGCAGTCCTTCTCGGAGCGCGTGATCACGACCTACATGACCAGCACCTACGGCGTCTTCCCGGTCGACCTGGACGGCGACAGCGACGTCGACGCGCTCGCGGCGTCCACGGACGACGACACGGTCGCGTGCTACGAGAACGACGGGTCCCAGTCCTTCGCATTTCGCATCATCACGTACTCGGCGACCCACGCCCACTCCGTCTTCGCGATCGACGTCGACGGCGACGGCGACGTCGACCCGCTGTCGACGTCGGTCATGGACGACACCGTCGCCTGGTACGAGAACAGCGGGTCTGACTGGTCCTTCGCCGAGCGCATCATCACGACGCTCGCGGGCTCGGCGCGCGCCCTCTACGCGATGGACATCGACGGCGACGTCGACGTCGACGTGATCGTGGCGTCGAGCTGGGACGACACCGTCGCCTGGTACGAGAACGACGGGTCCCAGTCCTTCACCGAGCGCATCATCTCGACGCTCGCGAGCTCCGCTCGCGGCATCTACGCGATCGACGTCGACGGCGACGGCGACGTCGACGCGCTCTCCGCGCGCGAGGGCGACGACACGGTCGCCTGGTACGAGAACGACGGGTCCCAGTCCTTCACCGAGCGCATCATCACGACGCTCGCGGACTACGGCTACGCCGTCTACGCGGTCGACCTCGACGGCGACGGCAACGTGGACGTGCTGTCGGCGTCCACCTACGACGACACGGTCGCCTGGTACAGGAACGACGGGGCGCAGCACTTCACGACGCGCATCATCACGACGCTGGCGGAATACGCCAAATCCGTCGACGCGATCGACGTGGACGGCGACGGCGACGTCGACGTCCTGGCGGCGTCGTCCAGGGACGACACGATCGCCTGGTACGAGAACGACTGCGGCGGGCCACGGCCCACGACGGCGCCGTCGTCCAGCGTCGCGCCGACGGCCTCGAGGCCCCCGATGGCGCTGCCGACGACGTCCCGCGCGCCGATGGCCGCCCCGACGCCGCGGCCGACGGTCCCCCCCCCCCCCCCCGGCGCCTCTTTGTCGCTCCCGCCCCCGACTCCCGCGCCGCGCAGGTCTCTTGCGACAGCGTCTCTTTCGCTATGCGCGTCATCACGACGTCGCTGGCGGACAGGGTCGTCTCCGTCTTCGCGATCGACGTCGACGGCGACGGCGACGTCGACGTGCTGTCGGCCTCCTACAATGACGACACGGTCGCCTGGTACGAGAACGACGGGTCCGAGTCGTTCACCGCGAGGGTCATCACGACGCTCGCGAGCGCCGCCTTCGACGTCTTCGCCGTCGACGTCGACGGCGACGGCGACGTGGACGTGCTCTCGGCGTCGTCCGGCGACCACACGGTGGCGTGGCACGAGAACGACGGATCCCAGTCCTTCACGATGCGCGCGGTCACGCTGACGGCGGTCAAGGTCCGCTCGACCGTCGCGATCGACGTCGACGGCGACGGCAACGTGGATCTGCTCTCGGCGTCGTCCGCCGACGACACGGTCGCGTGGTACGAGAACGACGGGTCCGAGTCCTTCACGCAGCACACCCTCTCGGTCCTGGCCATGGGCGCCTGGTCCGTCTTCGCCATCGACGTCGACGGCGACGGCGACGTCGACGTCCTCTGGGCGGGCTGGTACGAGGACACCGTCGCGTGGTACGAGAACGCGGGCGCCGGCTCGTTCTTCCCCGCGGCGCGCGTCATCACGACGCTCGCGTCCTACACCTACGCCGTCTTCGCCGTCGACGTCGACGGCGACGGCGACGTCGACGCGCTTTCGGCGGACGAGGGCAGCGACGAGGTCGCGTGGTACGAGAACGGCGGGTCCCAGTCCTTCACGAAGCTCGTCGTCGCGAGCGACCGGGACGGGGCCTACGCCGTCTTCGCGATCGACCTCGACGGCGACGGCGACGTCGACGTGCTCTCGGGCTCCCCCTACGACGACACGGTCGCCTGGCACGAGAACGACGGGTCCCAGTCCTTCACGGAGCACGTCCTCACGACGCTCGCGAACCTCGCGACGTCGGTCTACGCGATCGACGTCGACGGCGACGGCGACGTCGACGCGCTGTCCGCGTCCGCCGACGACGACACGATCGCCTGGTACGAGAACGACTGCGAAGCGTCGGACCCGTCGCTCGTCGCGCACTACTCCTTCGACGACGGCACGGCCGCCGAGGACAGCGACGGCAGCCTCGACGGGACGATCAACGGCGCGACGGCGACGACGGGCCGCGACGGGAGCGGCGCGCTGGCCTTCGACGGGACGGACGACTACGTCGAG